CGAGGCGGACCGACCTATAGGGCGAGCTTGGGCGGCCGCCCTAGGTCCCATCTGGTGAGCACCACTAGTACCCCCTGTTCTCTGGCCGGCGACGGCGTCCATCGAAGTCGAAGTGCGAGCGCAGGTCCGATGCGGCGATGACAGGAGCCGCCGAGCGGAGAGGTTGAAGAAGGTGCAGCCCTGCTGGGCGCCTGGGCCATCTTGCCGTCTAAGGAATGGCGCATTTTCTGGCCCATTTTGGCCCTTAAGTCTAACTTCTAAGCACCGCACACACTAGAGGCAGAGGGAACGCGCTCCGCGCTCGGGCTCGACGGCGCCGCTCCCTGCCTCCCTGTCTACACCGGCGGCCAGCGAAGAGCGAGCAGCGGTGGGTGGCCCCGCGCGGCTGCGCCCGGGCGGCCGAGGCCCCGAGCCCCGAAGACACCAGCAGGCAGCGGCAGCCTGTAAGTTCATGGTGCTGTCATGTTTCATGGTGCTCTCTAGGTGCTTGATGAATTGACTGAGTGAAAAAGGTGTCTAGATTGGAGCCTGAATGGAGTGGTGTCCAGATTTCAGTGAATTCCTAGATTGCATCATAACTGTATAGCGATGTAGCCTGTATGTGATTGCATTTTATTTACAAATAAGTTAAATTATTGTGGCATGAAACTATAGTTGAAATTAGAGTGTATATCAGTATGACAGTATATGAGCAAGAGGATGAGAGGGTAGAAAAAAGAAATATAGGGAGTTTCGAGTAATTTGATATGTATGTTGTCATTTTTAGTCAAAATTTTATAGCCTAGGTTTGCCCTACCTCCATTTTTGGGCTGGGTCCGCCACTGCCTGAACATGGAGGCGAGGAACAAACAGACCTTGATGACAGGCTGGTGATGTAGATGAGGCCCAATCTTCGGGTAGTTAAGATAGCGTCAATTGATGGAGACTCGACGTTCACGATCTAGACTTCGAACCAATACTGATCAGACTCCCACAACCATTACACCGTTGCTTTGTTGGTTATCAACCACACACGACGTGATTGACCTCACCGAGAAGGCTTTCCTGCAAGTGAAATGAGAACTCAAGCAAGAACGAGATGAATGCAATCTGAAATTACAAATAAAATGAAGCTTATAATACTAGAAAGGAGTTCAATCTTTATTCGAAAAGACTAATCGCAACAGGTTCGGAGCAAGCGATCTTAGCAAACAATGTCTGTTTCACAAGGAAAATAAGAACGCAACAAAACACAAACCCAAATGGGAGCGACGGCTGGTCATTATAGAGACTTGGACGTCACCCCCTGACGCGTCCCCTAATTGGGCTCTAAGACGATACATGGCCCAACAGACCAAAATACGGTGTCGCAGCACCATGACAGATTCTGGATGCTGACTTGTTTTGACAATTCCCTTTCAGTCTGGATGAATTTTGACGTCAAACCAAAGTCATAGGTTAGCTTATCAAATTATCTTTCCAAGCGTCGATTTAACCTCAGACTGCTCCTGGATTTCGAGGTGTACTCGAACTTGATTTGAGCCTCCACCTTAGCTACTCGAATTGGATAAGCTTTGAGAGTCCTTATGGTTTTGGACACCCTTGCTGATCTCCTCGGCCTCCATGCAAATCTCCAAGCATGGTCGTATTTATGGAGGTCATGTCCTCGTTAGGCGGCGGCAAGGACGTTAGTGTTAAACTCTAGTGAACTTTGGTAGGTCAAAGCAAACCGCAGCATCGGTGGTAGGAGAACATCTAGATCCACAACTAGGACCAGTAGAACAACAACGTAGGTTGCCATATCCAATGGGGCATCAACGTGATCCAAAGCGGTGATGAAGGTGGTTGAATTGGGCTGTAAAGAACTAGGCGACTTTATCTTGTTGCCCTTGTGTCCGTGTTGCTACCAGAGGCAATCGCCCTAAAGATGATGACAACACAAAGGACAACGATGGTAACGACAACGATTGAGACAGAACAATAACAACGCAAAAGGGAGGGGCTCAGTCTGAACAAACAACCATAAGAAATTAATAAAAATACTAGTAGATCTAGAAGGAGGATAGGCCCTTGATCCTGCATGTCAGCGAGGCAATAGGAGATGGAGAGTGGTTGAGAGACCTAGGGCGTGTTTGGGACTGCATTTTCTTCGTTGGCGGTCAAAAGATGAGAAAAATCGCGCCGAATGCCTCATGACACAGCAATTCTCTTCTCCGCATACGTCATCGACTCCGCAAAAATGAACTAGCTTCAGCATTTTCACTGCCGTCGTGCGACGGCCACGATACACATACCGCACCGCGTGGTAAGCAACCACGGTCCCAAACACGCCTACACGGGGGTTTTGAGAAGATCTTGGTTTAGCCACACGTTAGGATTGAGATCAATCACGAACCCTTCCTTGGTTACTTTTGAAAAGTATAGTATCAGCGAGAAGCACCTGACAGCAACTACTAAGCCTATCTCATCCACTCTTTGCAGTGCTAAGTGGCAGTTACTAATTGGGCTGGACCTTTCCTACGTGGTACTTCCCAGGATTCTTGTGTGATAGGTCACTGGGACCCACCAAGCGCCACATCATCTTCGAAGCCATCTCCCAGCAAGGCCCGGCCAATCCCTGCCCAGCAAAAGATGCCTCTCTATCCAATCCAACTGTATAAAAGGAGCTGCTGCGTTTGTCACAATCATCAGTCACCACACCAACTCACAGAAAACACAGAGCAAAGCATCACAAAAAGAAGTGATCTGATCGACATGGCCGCCGCCACCATGGCTCTCACCTCCCGTGCGCTCGTCGGCAAGCCGGCGACCAGCACCAGGGACGTCTTCGGCGAGGGCCGCATCACCATGCGCAAGGCTGCTGCCAAGCCCAAGCCAGCGGCGTCCGGCAGCCCCTGGTACGGGGCCGACCGCGTCCTGTACCTGGGTCCGTTCTCCGGTGAGCCCCCAAGCTACCTGACCGGCGAGTTCCCCGGCGACTACGGCTGGGACACCGCGGGGCTGTCCGCGGACCCCGAGACCTTCGCCAAGAACCGCGAGCTAGAGGTGATCCACTCCCGCTGGGCCATGCTCGGCGCGCTCGGGTGCGTGTTCCCGGAGCTCCTCGCTCGCAACGGCGTCAAGTTCGGCGAGGCCGTGTGGTTCAAGGCGGGCTCCCAGATCTTCAGCGAGGGTGGGCTTGACTACCTCGGCAACCCGAGCCTGATCCACGCGCAGAGCATCCTGGCCATCTGGGCGTGCCAGGTGGTGCTCATGGGCGCCGTCGAGGGGTACCGCATCGCCGGTGGCCCGCTCGGGGAGGTGGTCGACCCGCTGTACCCTGGCGGCAGCTTCGACCCGCTGGGGCTCGCCGACGACCCGGAGGCGTTCGCGGAGCTGAAGGTGAAGGAGATCAAGAACGGCCGCCTCGCCATGTTCTCCATGTTCGGCTTCTTCGTGCAGGCGATCGTCACCGGCAAGGGTCCTCTCGAGAACCTCGCTGACCACCTCGCCGACCCTGTCAACAACAACGCCTGGGCGTACGCCACCAACTTCGTCCCCGGCAAGTGAGCGACGGCACGCTTGCGTGCGTGTACCGTAGACATACGTATTCCTATGTACTGCAGGGTGTACCAGTATTTGTGAAGGGAGCTTGGGTCAGAGATTGTACCAGTAGTGTATTTGTATGCATGTTCTGGACCTGATGAATAAAATATGCTGTAAATTGTATATGTCTTTATTTATGCATACTGTACATGATTGTGATGAAGTGCTGTAGAGTTCAGTGAGCACGTCCTAAATCAAACAACAGGTAGCAGACGTTATCTTATCCCTTTCGTGCTCTTGTTTTACAGTTGCAGCAGCCAGATAACAATACAGTATTTAACCATGGCACACTGGCAGTCTATCTAGTAATGAAAATTTGGTACTTAACCAAGTATTTCGCCTTATATACCTGAAAAGCCTTTTAACGATTAGTTAAGATGTGCCATCAAAATTATAGATAAAAAGGTACTCAATTCTGTGCCTATCTAGGTACTCGTACTGCTTTGGTCCCAAGGACCAGAAGAACTACGGATCTCAAAAGTTAGGCACCAACTGTAACTTTCAGCAAAAAAATAGGTTGCAAGCGTAGCTAATGCTGACAACGAACTACACTTTCAGCAAAAGATCTACTACATAAAACTCAAAAGACCAAAACTAAATTTATTGTCTGACACTGAACGAGTCTGAGACTGAAAATGTCTCTGCCTGAAGAAGTGAACGGACTACATCTCCACTCCGGCAGATATGGCCACTATAGAAGCCTAACAGTCACACTGCATGACTTGTTGCAACTTGTGGCACTTGGGGAGTTCTTACAATTACATCGATCTCAACAGTCACGTGAATGATAAGAGAAACTTGCAACTGTAGTCACCTCTCTGCCCATGTGAACGGCACCTGACGATGAAAATGATAGCTAAAAGGAATGACGCCCTGGAGTTTCTTCAGAGGTGGGCATGGTGCCACCAGGCTGCTGCATCCGCTCGCTCTTTGGCTGCATGGATCAAGGGAGATCAGCAATGCCACTTGTGTGGTAGGAGATGTCGAGATGATGAGTCTTGATGTGATGGGTTTGCTTTGCTAACCTTACATTTTGAGTTTGCTACTACATGGTGCAAAGAGAAACCAGGTGGTAACCGTGAAGGGATGGCTCGTTTTTAGCTTCAAGTGAGAAGTATCTTCCCAGTTTCTTAACTGACAAATTAAATGCCAAAGTTTCTAGCGTCAACTTCCAGATCATTTTACATAGCTGGATGCAGTCAATCATTCAGAAAAAAAGGAATAGTTCGTTCTGGACATAGTAGTATTATACATTTTTTTTCATTTATTCCTAACAAAAGTACTTTCTTGCCCGATTTTGTTTTTAAAAAGTGCAAATAAAATGGATCCTGAAGATGCTACCAACATTGTGCATAGTTATTATATTGTGTGCTTATATATAGTATACCACTTTGACAACTAGGCAATTTGTTCAGTATACCCATAGTAAAACCTTTTCATGAACAATGAATTCTAACTTCCATTGGTGAATCATTGAAATAGTAATCACCTTGGTCATATATGAGATCAGCGGCTCTCGGAGGCAAGTCGTTCCTTATTAAGACCCCTTCCCTAACCTTGGCATGTGTCTCGGCGTCGTGCTGGAACATTGAGACTAGCTGCTGGAGCTCCAATTTTCTCAGCTGAACCTGCTGATCGCTGATCGGATTTTTCAGCCCAAAATAGATATTCCCGGCGACGATCAACAGGAGACCTACTAAGAACAGAAGACCAGAGAACAATGCAAAAGCTTATTGAGTGTTCTTGGCTCCAGGTATCCCGTCGACATTGATACCAAACAGTCCTGTGATGATGGACAGAATGAGACCGCACTCACCGAATATTGTCAGGTTATGTGTAATGCGAAGGCTTTTGTCCTGAAAATACCAAAAACGATAGCGTTCAGGTTACATAATCGATATTTCAGTTATCCAGTATCAGTAGGATGTACTAGGCACAGAGAAATTCTTGGGTTCAGAATCCCTTTCCACCACAACAGAAATTGTAGTGTAGCATGTGCTTACCTGCAACCAAGCACGGACAGTGCTCTGCATCACATCCTGAATGGTGAACAGCCGACCGCGGACAGCCTCTTGCTCTTCGATCATTTTCCTTGCGTCTTTCTTTATATCCTCAAGCAAGGATTGTGTGGTGCTTCTTCTGTTAGCTAATCTACTGTCACCTTGTATGAAACATAGCAGAGGAAGATGGCGCCGACTTTGCCCCCTAGTATAATACAGTAGCCACTGCAGGTGTAGGCACCGCATGGCTCACCTGCAGCACTGTAGGCACATGCAGTGGCCGGCGCAGAGTCAGCCTTGTATACTTATCTAGTTACTGTTATAGCATGAGCGCTGTACTTTAGTTAGATAGATAGAGTTGTATAAATAGGGCATCAAGGCAACTCAGTAAAGAGAGCTTAGATTTGCCATCACACAGACAGGGCCTCGTCCAACGTTGTTGTCTTGTATTGTGCGTGCTTGCTCTGTTCTCTCTTCTTCTTCTAGCTCGATCCGTAGTATGTGGGTACGGACACAACCGGTATAGTGGTATGTGAGACTAGTGGTCTGGTCTGGGAGACTAGTGGTCTGGAGACTATTTCACTATCGTCACTCGGTGATCCCGTGGGCTAACAAGTGGTATCGGAGTCAGGTTAAGCGCCGTCGTCGTTCTAATCGATGGGGATGACAGGCGGTTTGGAGTTGGGCGATGGCAGTGGCACTGTCATAGCTGCCCAGCCACTACCGGAGGTAGTTGTCCACACGGTGCGGGAGGTCAGCGGCACCACTTGACCGACGCTGACTCGCACTAACTATGGAGAGTGGTCGGTGACCATAAAGGTCAAGCTCAGAGCCCGACGGCTCTGGAATGCTGTTGACAAGGGCACCGACGTGGAAGAAGACGACATGTCAGCGTTGGAGGCTATCCTCGCTGTTGTACCGGCGGAGTACAGGGAACCGTTGGGGACGAAAAGCTCAGCTAAGGAGGCGTGGGAGGCCATTGCGGCAATGCGCGTCGGTTCCGACGGCGCAAAGAAGGCGACGGCCCAGCTTCTGAAGCAGGAGTACGCAAACCTCAAGTTCAAGAATGGTGAAACAGTGGAGGACTTTTCCCTCCGCCTGCAGACGCTCATCAGCAAGCTGAAGAGCCATGGCGTCACCATCGACGAAGAGGAGGCGGTCTCCAAATTTCTCCACTCCGTGTCGGCAAAGTACATCCAGATCGCTCTCTCCATAGAGACGATGCTGGACTTGTCCACCCTCACCATCGAGGATGTGGCAGGCCGTCTGCGGGCGGTGGACGAGCGCCTGGGGCAGGCGACAGCAACGAAGGACAGCGAAAAACTCCTGCTGACGGAAGAGGAGTGGGTTGCTCGACGAAACTCCAGGAAGGCAGCCTCCTCCAGTCGCGGTGGCAACGGCAAACATCGCGGCAGGGCTTCTTCGGAGAAGAAGCAAATCGACTCCAACGCCTGTCGGTGTTGCGGGAAGATGGGCCATTGGGCATGGGAGTGCCCAAATCAAAAGAAGGAAAAGAAGGCTCAGGCTCACCTGGCGAAAGCCGATGATGAGGATGAGGCCACTATCCTTATGGCGATGTTCTGTGCACTACACGACATCGAGGCCATGGAGAGGAAAGAGGCGACGACGGTGGAAGGATCTAGCAAGGCCCTGAAGACCGTCAACCTCGACGAACCACGTGCCCAAGTCCATCTTGGACATGTGGGCGTCGACCAGGAGCAGCGATAGTATCTGGACTCTGGTGCCAGTAACCACATAACGGGCTCCAAGGACTCCTTCTCCGAGCTCGACGGTGAAGTTACCGGTACGGTGAAGTTTGGTGACGGCTCAAGAGTGGCTATCCAAGGGCGCGGCACCATCATCTTCAGATGCCAGAATGGGGAGCACCGCGCGCTAACGGATGTATACTACATCCCGTAGCTGCGTTCCAGCATCATCAGCATTGGTCAGCTGGATGAGCGCGGTAGCGAGGTTCTGATCAAGGACGGCGTTCTGAGGATCAGAGACCGGGAGCAGCGACTTATCGCCAAGGTAAAGAGGTCACTGAACCGGTTGTACCTGCTCGACCTGAAGGTAGAGCAGCCGCCCGTTTACCCACTGTGGCAAGGCACTCCGAGGAACGTGGATGTGGCATGCCCGGTTCGGACATCTCGGCCGACGCGCTTGGTCGGTGGGGAAGATGGTCCGAGGGCTACCCACATCAAACATGGAGGCGGTAGCAGTGGCAATTTGCCGCCGAAGCGAGAAGGCTACCTTTCCCAAAGGCGGCCAAGTATCGCACGGAAGGAAGCTCTCGAGCTAGTTCACGGCGACCTCTCACGGGCCGATCACGCCTGCTACATGCGGTGGTCGGCGGTACTTCCTCCCGCCAGTGAGCGATTGCGGTCCGCTACATGTGGCTGCAACTCCTGACGAGCAAGGACGAAGCGACAGAGACGATTAAGAAGTTCAAGACACGCACGGAGGCTGAGAGCGGCAAGAAGCTCCGTGTACTAAGGACTGATCGGGGTGGCGAATTCACTTTGGTGGAGTTTGCTACGTCTCGCGCGATCAAGGTGTGGGGCAACATCACACCGCGCCGTACTCGCCACACAATGAAATGGCGTGGTGGAGCGGCGGAACGAGGCGATGGTCGGCATGGCCCGATCCATGATGAAGGCCAAAGGGATGCCGGCAAAGTTCTGGGGAGAGGCGGTGACCATGACAGTGTTCATCCTCAACCGCGCTCCAACCAAAGCCCTAACGGGCAAGACACCGTTCGAAGCTTGGTACGGGAGCAAGCCGAACGTGTCATTCCTCCAGACATTCGGTTGCATCGGCCATGTCAGGTAGATGAAGCCGAACCTCACCAAGCTGGAGGACAGGAGCACACCCATGGTGTTCCTGGGCTACGCAGAGGGTACCAAGGCATACCGGCTCTATGACCCACGCGGAGACAAGGTGACTGTCTCGCACGACGTTGTGTTCAACGAGGAGGCAGCTTGGGACTGGCACAGTCCAAGCACGGGGGAAGCGGGAGGCTTCACCAACACCTTCGTCGTCGAGCACTTGGTCATCCACGGCGGTGGAGACGTTGCGGAACAGGTGCCACGCACTTCGGGAGGAGCGCCGAGCACTCCGGCGGTAGAGTCAAGCACTTCTGGGGCAGTGCTGAGCACTTCAGGAGGGATGCCGAGCACTCCAGGAGGAGTGTCGAGCACTTCTGGAGGAATGCCGAGCACGCCAGGAGTGGAGCCAGGTGGTTCTGTAGTGGTGGCGACCACTTCAGGACGGGTGCCGAGCACTCCCGTGGCGGAGCCAAGACGTCTTACTGTGGTTCCGACCACTCCAAGACTGAGGTTGGGCACTCCTATAGTGTGGCCGAACACTACATGAGTTATGACGAGAAGTCCAGAAGCAGTGACGAGCACTTCAGGTGCTATGCAGGGCACTCCGGCGGAAGAAGGAACTCCATCACCCCCGATCAAGTTCACCTCACCTCCAAGTGACATCACTGAGTTCGTGGACGCCTATCACGAAGGTGAGGAGTTGAGGTTCCGCAGTCTGGACGACATCGTCGGCGGCACAGGTCCCTCAGGTCTGGCGGGTAGGCTACTCAACGACGCAGAGCTGCTACTCGTCAGTGCAGAGGAACCACCCACGTTCGCGCTAGCCGAGCACGATGGAAACCAAGTTTTTCTAGGCGCTAGGCGAAATCTAGGCGATGACCCCTAGCCTAGCGACTAGTCCAGCCTAGGCTAGCCTAGGCGATGCTAGGCGTTTTGCTAGGCGTTTTGCCAATTTAGTATAATATATAATATATATAGCATAATATATATATTTATATAGCAGAAATCATGATATATACATGCAATACTACAGCAATTCACAGATTCATACTTGATTTGAAAGCAGAGGAGAGGAGAGCAGCGGGAAACAGAGCGAGGCAGTTCAAGGGAGCAGAGCAGAGCGGGGAGGACATACCTTGGCTTCGCATCGGCCTTGAGGGCTGGGGCTCCTTTGAGAGATGACCGCCGGGAGGGTAATCTTGGGCGGTGGGGAGTTGGCGGCGGGGAGGCCCTTCGAGGCTTCGATCGCGGGAGGAGGACGAGCTGGGCGAAGACCGGGAGGAGGAGGTGGATGAGGTCGGAACGGACCGACAAAGGGGGAGGAGCGTCGGCGCCCGTGAAGCCGCTTCCGGTGGAGAGGCGTCGCTGGCGGCGGAATAAGCGTCATGTGGCAACCCGGTACCCATCTGGCGGCCTTATCCGTCGCGCGTGCGGCAATTTCCCCCCGGCGCCAACCTTTCCCGCGCGCGCTCGTCGGCCGCCGCGTAATATTTTGCGCGCATTTGGGAAACCCGGGCCGACTCGAGTCGATTCCGCGCCTCCGAGTCGCGCAGAGGCACCGCCTAGGCGCTCCCGTCGACTTGAGGGGCGACTACCCCCCTAGTCCAGGCGCCAGGCCGTAGCCTAGCGACTAGGTGCGACTAGGCACGTCGTAGTCGTCGACTTTCAAAACTTGGGATGGAAACTGGCGACGGGTAATGCTGGAGGAGATGAAGGCGATCGAGGAAAACGAGACTTGGCAGCTCGTCGATCCACCCCTAGGATGCCGTCCGATCAGCCTAAAGTGGGTATACAAAGTCAAAAGGGATGAGCTCGGCGCCATTGTCAAGTACAAAAGCGCGCCTGCGCCGCCGAGGCTTTGTCCAAAGACGAGGGCATCGATTTCGAGGAGGTCTTTGCACCATGGCGCGCATGCATGGAGTCGGTCCGTTTGCTACTTGCTTTGGCGGCAAACAAGGAACGGGCGCGTCCATCACTTGGACGTTAAATCGGCCTTCCTCAATGGCGGTGGCGGCGAAACGGTCTTCGTCGGGCAACCTCCGTGGTTCATTGTCAAGAGAGAGAGCACGAGGTGCTCCGATCGCGTCGCGCTCTGGTGAGGCAAGCCCCTCGAGCATGGAACGCCAAGCTTGACACCACGCTTGGGCGAGCTTGGGTTTCAGAGAGGCGCATGAACGAGCACGCGCTCTACACGCGATGACGGGG